AGATAAGTACAAAGTTTTAAAAGTGAAAGAGGCCCTCGAGCCCCTTCAGTTCCACAAACTTCTGAGGCCCTGTGATTTGCCCAAAGTACCACAGTTAACTGGTGTCCAACCTGCTTTAGAAAGCAACAGGTGGTTGAGTGTGTTCCTTCCATAATTCCAACTTGTTGCTACTTAGAAATTCTTTGTAAAGTTCACATTTTTTTTTATATTATGAGGCTAGTCAAGAAAAGCAATTCTGTTTACTGTGTCACATAGGCTGAAATCTTGCCAGTTTTTCCAGGCAGCACATAACAGCTGGGTCACATCAGGTAGATCCTTGTGATGAGATGATTAGTAGTTTCAGAATCTAAAGGGAAAAACAAACGAAACAAAACACCCCTCAAAACCAAGCCTTTCCCCCTCCTTCATGGTTCACAATTGCTATTTCTTGCAAATTTTGACTTTTCAGTTTCAAGGAATTGAAACTCTCTTTGGTTGTGTCAGGGAACATGAAGTTGAACTGATCCGACATGGGCCAATTTTTTTCTGGTCATCAGTCAAATTAATAGAATTTGCCACTTGCTAAACATTTACTATGAAATATTATGCAAAAGTGAGTCGATCAATGTCGACATGGTTTAGTTCCTAATTGTTGAATATCTTATGCAGTGTCATCTCTAGACGTAGCATCAGGCAAGTCTATCAGAAAGTATAGATTATTTTGCTATCACTTGAGATTCAGATATGCCAGTAATCTGCCCTCCTCCTTGGAGGCAATGAATAGGTTCATGTCAGTCACTTTCCAGAGATGAACTCTTGTCCCATGAAACATCCCCTGCACAAGGGTTGGCTTAGACCAGCTGTAGGTAGAGAGCAATCATGGGATGAGGATGCATGTTCAAGAAAGAAGCCTTTTACAAATCCCCATACCATTGTGAGTAGCATAGGGTCAATTTACAAAACTGTTTGCTTATACTCTTCTGAGATTTGGCCTGGCTTATTTGGAGTTAGATGTGAGTTTTCAAGCAGTTCATAGGCATCCTGCATGTTGGGAAGACTTCGCCTCATGTCCTGGGTAACCCTTTGGACCTGAAAGCCAGTGCTGTTCTTTGAAGAAACTCTCTGACCCCGGTATGCCTGAGCCTGGCGTTTACAGAGGCCAAACTTGCTGAGCAGGATGAACACATCCCTCTGGAAGGTATTGGTGAAGATAGCATAGAGGAAAGGATTGGCACAGGAGTTAAGAGGGTAGAATAGAACCAGTAAGATTTTGGAGTTGGTAACAGTGATGAGAGGCTTGTTCATAAGTGCTGACAGAGCATAGAAAGAGATTGGGGCCATGCACAGGAAGTCAGTGAAGATCAACACAGCCATCCTCTTGGCAATTTTGGTGTCCTTGTCCCCTGAGTTGTACTGGGGATTTCGGACTGTGATGTAGATCTTCACATAACAGGAGCAGACGATGATGAAGGCAACTATGTTGAGCAACAAAACAAGGACAATATACGCTAGAGCCAGAGGGGTCTCCGTGTCCATGGGCAGGCAGATGCTAACCTTGGCATAGCTACTTATTCCTACCAAAGGCAGCAGAGCAAGAAGGAAGCAGCAAACCCAGCCCCCGACCATGATGGCATAGGCATGCCTGAGGCGGATCTTCCGGTCCAGCCGCATAGCAAAGGTGATGGCGTACCAGCGCTCCAGGGTGATGACTGTCAGCGTGTACACGGACAGCTCGCTGGCAAAGACGGTGAAGAAGCCAGCTGTGTTGCACCCAGGGCCTGTCTGCCAGTCGATGGCGTGGTTGTAGTACTCAGAGTGAGTGTAGAGGTCTACAGAGGCAATCAGGAGCAGGTACATGCCCATGCAGAAATCCGCAAAGGCCAAGTTACACATGAGAAAGCGTGGGACCGTCAGTTTGTAGTGGCTGGTAAGGAGGATAAACAAGACAAAGACATTGCCCAGAAGAGCCAGCAGACTAACAAACCACACCACAATTCTTAGGAACTTGTAGCCCATGATGTCTTCGCAGGGGTTGAACTCATCTGACTTAGGGGTACACACCATGTCTTCATTGCTGCCACACACAGTATAGTCATAGTAGCTGTCAAAAGCCTGTAGGGTCTCTTCTTGGGGATTTTTGAGCTCCTGGCCAAAACCAATGACTTCATCTTCCTGTTCTTCAAAGAAGACATAATAGTGAGAGTTGCTGTGAGAATTCTGGAACTTGACATTGTCCTTGTATCCTACATTGCCGTCCCCTAGATCCTCCTCATATTCCTGGTAGAAGGGGCCATGCAAAGCATTCACAGATTTTCTCTGACGCAGACTCTGGATCCTGCTCTCATTGCACATCAGGGACTCAAGGATTCTGCAAAGCAACAGAAATGAGTGACCACTTGCTTAAAACCTGCTAATGGTCCCCACACATAAAAAATATGCCAACTACTTGCTGTGGTGTACAGAATTTTACAAGCATCTACATGCCGTGGTTGGGCCTGTCTCTCCTCCCTCATTTCTTGTTACCTGCTCTCCCTTTCTGTGATCCAGTGACGTTGATTTTTATTTCTTATTTGCCACCACATTGAGAATGACAGTGACAAAGAAGCATGGATGCTGGAGCCAGTCTGAATTAGAACCTGGCTCTACTCTTTACTGGCTGTTTCACCATAGGCAGGTCTATGAGCCTTGGTTTATTCGTTTGTTAAAAAGGACAATGATGGGATTCAGTTTGAATAGGGTTATTACATGATAGATGTGCTTATCTTTTTGCAGCATCTGGGGCATTGTAAGTGACATGTATATGTTGGTTATTATTATTATTATTTCTATTCAGAACTCTGTAACTCCATGTTCTCTTTGCCTGAGAAACTTAAAGCTGCCTCTATTATTCACTTTTTTTTTTTTCTTGGAGAGGGTTTTTTTTTTTTTTTTTTTTTTTTTTTTTTTTGCGATAGGGCGAGTGCACTCACCAGACAGACAGAGAGAGACAGAGAGACAGAAAGCGAGAAATCACCCCTCAGGGGGGATGGCCATGCCACCGCCCCCATTCTCCTCTCGGCGTCTTGGGCATGCACGCACGCACGCACATGTGCCTGACGTGAGTTTTAAGCCACCGGGTCCGGGATGCGAACCGCGGTCAACTACGTGGGAGTCCAGCGACATAGCCATTATGCTAACTGCTGGTCCCCATTATTCACTTTTAAACTTAAATGCACCTTCCTCAGAGGAGCCTTCCCTGATATTAAACTAACTGTCCTGCTCTTGTATTTATTTCCTCTGTAGCAATATCTGATATTTTCTTAGTCGTTTGCCTATTTTTCTCTTTACTCCCTCTACTAGACCAGACAAAGAAAATGCAAGAGGGGCTCTTGCCTGTCCTGTGAACTGTTGTGAATACATCAGCCCCAAGCTCATAGTGGATACTCGATAAACATCTGTTGAATAAATAAATAAATGGACACTATCATGCAGACATGCTCATGGAAATAAGATTTAGTTCTTCCCCAGCTCACCAGACTCACCACAATAGGGATTCTTTAATTTGCTTCAGCTGCTGAATGGATTTTGCTTCAGTTATTGGGCTGTTGTTAAAAATGCCCAGTGGACTGATTGTTATAACTGGTTTGGAGGCTAAAGGAAATAGACTCTGTCCCTGAGGTCTACTTCAGCCTCGCACCCTTCTCTGGTCTCCTACTGGTGTAAGTGTAGAATCCACCGTCACCACCCCACTTCTAGTTTCCTCAGTTGTATATTGGTCTTCTTTGCACGACTGATAAACTTTGCGGTTTGCTTCTGCCCTCATGATGAGGTCCTGATTTTTTTCTGACTATTAATATGAGAATAAAAAGTAGATATTTATATAGAAGTTGAATGGAATTGAATAAGAGACATATGAAGTCAGAATAGAAGGTTTTGTAAGACATAAAGGGGGAAACAATACAAAATATTATTCCTACTTAGGGTAAGTAAGAGCAAGATTCAGAGAAAGCATAGAGAGAAAAAGAGGGCCATCTTTCTTTTGCAGCCTTGCAAAGAGTCTGATATTAAAATAATATATATCATAGCTATTATTTTTTAAATGTTGTAATTCTTTTTTTTAAACTAAAACAGTTGACAATTTTATTTTCACATTTCACAATACAAATGAAAACTGCACTTTTTGATCTCATGTCTCTCCTCCAAAACTACTTATTTTAATTTTTTTTTAATAGGAAGGGAGAGAAAGTCTTCCTTGACATGCTGTTAGAAAACACCCAGAGTCACAGCCCCATGATCTCCTGGTGAAGTAGAACACGTTTATATAAAACTGACAGAAAGAAGCCTCCCTCCATCCTTCTCTGTCTGGCTGCGTCATCCCTGGCCGAATGGGAACCATCATGGGCTGGGCAGGAGGTCTCATCACTGAGGGCCCAGGCATGCACATGCGGCCAGCATGTTTTTCAAGCCACTGTGTCCTGGCCTTGAAGCGCACAATTGGCCATATGGAATCCAGCTACCTTAACCACCATACTACTGGCTGCCCCCAGGTGTTTTTAAATTAAATTTCTTGTTTAATTTTTTCAAAACCCCTATAAATGATACCATTACAGTCTCTATTCTCCAAGACTTAGGGTGGTTAAGTAACTAGGCTAACACAGCAAAGAACTGGCAGAGCTGAGGTCCCAAAACCCAGATGACTCTAGAGCTGACACCCTGTAACCAGGAAACTCTGACATGTGCAAGGCCCAGACAGATCAGGCAATCCAGTTGTTTGTGAGTCTGTCCTGATGCTTGTGGCATCTCATCTGAGTTGCAGTATCTATGTGTTGTGTTTGGAGGCCAGGAATCATGTCTGTGTAACCTCGACATCATGCTACCTGGTCTGGTCATGTCTGCCTTTTCTACTTCAATTCCTATTATCTCCCTGCCCCTACTGTGATCCAGTGACATTGGCCTTATTTTCCATCTTCAATCACTTGGACCCACAAAACCATTGTGTCCCATGGGGTTTCCTGTTTCTCCACCTGGTTTTCAGACAGTGAGCCTTCTTCCCCAAATTAAAAAATTAATTTGACTTCCAAGAAAGTCTTCCATCGTTCATTCCAAGCTGTTGCCACTTACCCTCTGATTTTCTTCTGATTTTTAAAAGCACAGCAGTGACTTGGATAAGACAGGTCAGCCCGTGTGAGGTGAAGGAAACTCAAGGAAAGTGGAAGTTTCTTAAGAGTCCAAGTGTTTCTTGCTATCAATTCCTTCAGGTGCTCCAGGCCCTTGGATGGCAGAGCAGTGACACTGGTGTAAGACACATCCCTGGTAGGCAGAGAACAGAAGGGAGAGGCCGTGAGCAGCGAGAGCCTTCTAGTTCATTTGCCTGAGGCTAATGCGGAGGTGACATGCTCCTTTCTGCTACTAATACGGAATTTGAGGCTTCTCAGTCCATTTGTTACACGAAGTCCTCTTCTTTTTTTGTTTTTATAGAGATTTTTGCTGTAAGGTGTGTGCATTTACCAGAGAGACAGAGACAGACAGAAAAAGTGAGAAATCACCCCCACAGGGGAGATAGCACGCCACAATCCTTCTCTATTCTCCTCTTGGTATTTTGGGCACGCATGCACGTGTACCTGGTGAGTTGCAAGCCCCTGTGTCAAGGACTCAAACCATGGTCAGCCATGTGAAAATCTAGTACCTTAACCACTACACTACCTGCTGGCTTCAGGAGCTCCTGTTTTTTTTTTTTTTTTTTTTTTTGTTGTTGTTTGTTTGTTTGTTTTTGGCTTGGGATTCCAGTATCCATTAATACAAACTATTTCCATAGATACCTGTCTGTCACAATTATGCAAACTCTAGGAATTAGACACGGATGTCAATTTCACTCTGGAAAAATGACACATTATTATTAAATGGAATCAAGAGGCAAGAGAAATGAAATGGAACAGGCTCAAAGGAGCCTATCTTGCAGTCGGTCTCGGTGGGAACGAGGGTTTGGGCACTGATGAGCTGCTCACTAGTGTGCACCAGCATCAGTGTCATGAAAACCTTGGGCACCATAACCAGGTACCTCATAAATTCACGACCGAAAATGACTGCCCCTCCCCCCAGCTTCTATAGAAGACTATAAGTCTATTTCTGGAAAGGAAACTCAAATAGTTATATTAATAATCTGAAATGAGATTCAAATCACATCTGAAAACAATGGGGGAAGAGAGAGGTGGAAGTGAGGAACAATGGAGACATTAGTGTTTGTGGCCAAAGTAGACGGAATTCCTAGCATTTCGAGTGACATTATCTGTTCTTTTCTCAGTCCCAGAGATCTCACGCCATCACTTTTACAAGCATCATCGATAGCTTGAATGAGACCAGGTCTATCTAACTAATATCCCTTTTATTTTACATTTTATCAACTAAAATATTCCTTTAAAAAGGTATTTATATTCTTATATATTTCATAAACTTAGTAGTGTTTGATTAGCAAGTGAATTCCAATATTTACAATTGTTCCCTCTACACGTTGATGTAATTGGACTTAGCTAGGATTTATATTCTCAAGGTTCCAGGCTGTCACAGCCTGTTCCTGGTTTTCTACAAACACTAATGCCCATGTGTGAACTCTATTATCACTGCAGAACTATGATTCTTTTTTTTTAATGATACAATGTATATTTAAAAAATAAAATCCATACACAATAGGTGGGATGTGATGAACTACGAAAGAGGGTTGGGGTTGGAGTGTTGGGTTTGCTATTTTGTTTAGTCTTTTATTACAATAGTCTATAAGCATTTCCCAAACTTCCTGGTAGGGAGAATGACTCCTGGTGCTTGTTACTGAAGATCTCAGGTGCTTTTTAACATTAGACAGGCATGTCTGGGAAACTAGCATACCTGTACAATGTTGCAGTTAGTGAGAGGTCTGAGGAATTGGAGCCTTCAGCACAAGGGGAAGTAAATGAAGCTGGATTTTGTTCTCCTGCCTCACCTGTGTTTTTGAGATAGCTCTTTTTCTTTAGTCATTTTGTCTTGAAGTTGTGGCCATTTTTCTGCCTCCAATTTTCTGGAAGCAACATATGTGTCACTTTACCCAGTGATGTGTTCATGCCAGTGATACAAGAGGGCATCTGTGGGCTCATTTTCCCTGCTGTGTTGTCTGCTAGGTACACTGATGGTGTATGTTCTTCTGAAAGTGTTTACTCTTTCAAATACTGTGCTTTTATTTTTTAAAGAAAGAATTATTTCATTTAACTTTATTTATTTTAATTTGACCAGTGAGAGACAGAGTGAGTGAGAAAGAGAGAGAGCGAGTGAGCAAGAAAGCAAGCCACCAGATCCAGGATTTGAATCCTGGTGGCCATTTGGAGACCAAAGCTCTTACCCAACACACCACCTGCCGACCCATGTTTGCATTTTAATAGGGCCCGTGTTTGCGTTTTAATAGGGTATTTCTTCAGAAAACATGTTAGTAGCCATTCCAGTTAGGGCAGCCCAAAACCAAGTAGCATAAAGTAGCAATTTTTAAATTATAAACATAGTTTCTGTGGATCATGAATTTGAAGAAGGCTTGGTGGGGATGGATTGTCTCTGTTCTATGATGATCTAAAGGCTGGGGTACCTCAATGGCAGGGGATTGGAATTATCCGCAGCCATTTTTACTGGCATTTCTAGTGCCAGGGCTGAATGACTCAAAGGCCAAGTTTAACTGGGACTGTTGATGTGGCCTCCCCATGTAGCTTGGGCTTCTCTGAGTGAACCGGCAAATTCAGAGGCAGAGGACACAGAATCGATTGCTTAATGGGAAGATTGCCAAAGAATCTGATGCCTTATTTATTTTTCTATTTTTTGGGGGGGAGGGGGGTTAGCATAGGGCACATGCACTCACTGGAAACAGAGACAGTCAGAGTGCAAGTGAGAAATCACCCCCCAGGGGGGATGGGCACACTGCAATCCCTTCTCCTCCATTCTCCTCTTGAGATTTTTGGGCACACACACACATGTGCCTAGCATGATTTTCAAGCCTCCAGGTTCTATAGAAGCTAGGACTCAAATTGCAGTTGGCCATGTGGGAGTGTCTTAACCACCACCATACCCGCTGGTCTCTTTGGTGCCTTATTTTAAAACTGCCATAGCGATCTAAGTGGTGGAGACACCGTTGAGGCACATGTTTTGTCAGGTCACTACTCTGCAAATCAGTGTTTATGGTCCAGGTATTCTCTGTACCAGCCTTAGAATCACCGACAACACAAACTGAGACACATTCCAGAACAACTGATGGCAAGACCGGAGAATCTGCATTTTCAAGATAAGCTGCTCTCCAGAAGGTTATCTCAATTCTCAAAACATATTTATGAAGCAGGCAGATACTAAAATCAGATTAAAAATGAAAAACACACACAAACCAAACCAAACCAACACAAACATGCTGTGTTCAGAGATTCAGCAAGCCAAGGGTGAGACCATAAGTATAATTTTTTTTTTTTTTTGAGAGATTTTTCACTGTAGGGCGCGTGTGCTCGCCAGACAGACAGAGAGAGACATAGAGACAGAAAGCAAGAAATCACCCCCCAGGGGGGATGGTCACGCCGCAATCCCTTCTCCTCCATTCTCCTCTCGG